CACCTCACGTTCCATTTTCCTGTCACTCGTGAACAACAGCAACAGGATGGGGAACAAGGGGCAGCCCAGGCGGAGTCCAGCACCCACTGGGAACAGGTCTGAATTTGGTTGTATAGGGACCGAATGGCTCGTATCAGCGAGCCCGGTACCCCATGCTCCCTCAGTGCCCCCACAGAGCCCCTCTGTTTGATACGAGGTGTGTCAGAAAAGTTCCAGGACTGGTGTCACAAAAGATATACTTCAAACTCCAGTCCAGGAGTTTCCCCCTTCAGACGACCAACCAGCTCGTCTACAGAGGTCCTGCAGCGTTTACTTCTTCCAGAAGAGGCAGTTGTGTCAGGACCAGTGGTGGCTGCTTCACCATGACAACCTGCTCACAGCGCCCTGAGCATCCCACAGCTCCTGGCTGAGGAGAACATCTCCGTGCTGGAGCAACCTCCCTACTCACCCCGCCTGGCTCCGTGGGGCTGGTTCCTCTTCCCCTCGCTCAAGGGGCTCATCAAGGGGACCCGCTTAGAAGGCGTGGACGACATCAAGATGGCTGTGATGACGGAGCTGAGAGGATCCTGAAGAATCCTTCCAGGAGAGCATGGCGGCGTGAAGAGAAGGCTGGAGGAGGTGGAGTAGACTCCAGGGGGATTACTGGGAAGGAGAACACTGGTAGTTTGTAGTTTGGATTTGAGATATATCTCTAGTGACACAAGTCCTGGTACTTTTCTGACACACCTTGTATGCATACAAATAATAAGACAAATCTGAACTAAAAGAAAATGTATCTCAAAAGCTATATATACTATCTAGGTTACAGTGCTGTATAGTTTAAATCACTGTTGTTCTTCCCTCCTGTGCATGGACAAACAATGAATCTGAGAAAAACATCACTGATGTGAAGGTTGAATGGATGAAAAGCTGAAACTGCTGGTAGAAAAGTGTCAGAGCACAAAGAGACAAAAAGCACCACAGACGGTCAGTGGAGCTCCGCTGGCTGGTGGTTGTGTAGCTGCAGACGGTCAGTGTCCAACCTGACTCCGTCCACGACTGAAGCCCCAACACTAAAGAAGGTTCCTGACCTGATGAGGTTTTTTACATCTGGTGGACGCTGCAGCATTTACCTGGAACAAGTGGCAGCAGTGATTAGGGGAAGGAGGTGAGCCGGTGGAGGTGGTGTGATGTTCTGGTGATGTTCTGCATCACGTTATTGTCGCTCTGGACCTGCTGCAGACCACCAGCTGCATGCTGCAGTGTTCCCTGAGGAGGATCCCTGACACACTGACCAATGTTGATAGATGTTGGAGGAGCAAAGAGTTCCAGACTCCAACATCTCGGTCCCATACAGCCTCTGAGGGAGGTTCTGGTAGAACCAGTCCAATCCAGCTTCCAGCAGTGCCACAAAGACAGACTCTATGGCAGCATCATGTTGGTGCCACACGCAATTCTGAAGATGATGAACTGCTTAGAGCTAGAATACTTTTTTGTTTTAATTTGTATACACATACATCCAGGTGCCCAAAACCAGACGACACCTTCAGAGGCCTCGACCAATCAGAGCAAGCCTCCACAGTACTGGCTGTGATTGGAGGGTAAAATGAGAAACTCACATCATCATGTTCTGTTTCTATATAAACTCTGATTAAAAATAGTAATTCATATTTTTATAAAGTATGAAATATTTCTTCTTTATCAAACACGTCAGTTTTCTTTGTGTACCTGTTCCTGAATCCTCACACTGCCTGGTTTATTCCAGGTGAACATTTGCTCTCAGACCTTCTGTACCTGCATGAACAGCAGCAGGACACTGAAGCAGATCAGCTGTGAGTGTTAATTACCACACAGATGATTCTCTGCTATCTCCGGAACGATAAGTCAGCCAAACTCACTCTTTAGCTTTTCTGTTCTTCTGCTTCTTTTTATCTGTGAGTTCACTTCAATAAAAACAAACATCAGACTGATCAAATAATAGTTTCGGCTGCTTCAGTGCATATTATATTGTACTCTATTAAATTAAATTAAATTATATTATATTAAACTACATAATGTAATGTAATTTAGTATAATATACAGAATGTAAGCGAATCAGTTTCTCTGGTGGACTCTAATAAATATAAAATAAACATCTCTTTCTGTCTCATTCCTGATTCATTTCAATAATCCTCTTTATTGGCATGAATGTGAGCTGAACTGTTTTGCCAAAGCTTCTAAATACAAATTAAAATTTCTCTCTCGCTGATGTAATTAGGATTTTTTTTCCTGGTGAAAATGGTTTAATCAGGGATAATGTTCCTGCGGAGCTGCTCAGCAGGTTCAGACGGTGAATAGATGTGATTCGTCCTCATGGAGTCTCTGATCTGCAGCTTTTTGTTTTTTTAAGTAAATTAATAAATCAGTTGATCAGAATATAGTTCTGCTTAAAAACTCTCCTTTAAATGCGTTAAATCAACATTTGTGCAGCGTTGCAGGCTGAACATTGACAGTAATGAAACAAAACTGCGCTGTTAGATAATGCACAAAGGAAGATCCTTCATTTATATTTCAGTTGTTCTGGTGGATCAATACGTGCTGCTGGTTCCACTGGAGTCCCTCGAGAACAACGTTGTGTTAATGAGCCTCAGAGAGGAACCGCTGAGAAAATCGAAGGCTGGACCAGCTGAAATTTATTTTAATTTAATACAGACATAGAGTTTTTAATGCAGGCTGAGAAAAAGCAGCTCTCTGTCTGTTCAGGAATTAAGAGGCCGGCCATTTTACAGCCGCGACGCAACACCAACAAAGAAGAAACAGAAACCTTGAATAAAGCCAAGGAGCAGCAGCTGGGACAGAATGGAGCGTTTTGTTTTTAATAAGTTCTAATTTTACTATAAAGTCTGCATTTAACCTGTCTGGACTGGTTTTATGATTTATTTGATTTATTGATTGATATTCTGCTGAATTTAGTGTTTTACCTTTTGTGCTTTGACCTTTTATTTTTATCTGAAAAACAATAACTGTGGTGTTGATACAGACATAAACTTCAGTTATCTCAGAGGTTCTTCTCCCTGGAGGAGGTTCTGCAGAGATGGTTCAGGAAAGAGATTCTACTGGGACGGTTCCTGAAAGAGCTTCTATGTCCCTGACAGAGGTTCTTCGAGGATGGTTCCTGAAGGAGGCTCTGCAGAGATGGTTCTGGACAGAGGTTCTACGAGGATGGTTCCTGAAGGAGGCTCTACAGAGACGGTTCTGGACAGAGGTTCTACGAGGATGGTTCCTGAAGGAGGCTCTGCAGAGACGGTGCCAAGTGAAACAGGGGTCAAGCTGGAAGTTCCTGCCGTATAAGGCATTAGTTGGTAAACATCAGTGTTGTGGAGACGGAAGATGTTCTCCTGATCAACAACAACCCTGCCGGTTCTGCAGCACAGTCATTTCATTGTTGGACATGTTGGTCCAGTGAGATCACATCAGTCATCCAGAAAACGTTCCAACACAGCGGGTAGGTTCAGACCACCAGAATGTTAGGAACAGCAGAAAATCCAGGACACAGTTTGTCAGATGAAGGCGTTCTTCTACATGAACTGTCATATTGTGCAGTTTGTCAGCAGCATGTCCTTCTGCTGTCTCTGACCCAAAGTTCTGCTCACTGTGAGTATAAACAGCTGAACAGATAACAAGGCTTAAGGCACAATGTTCTAACAGAACCACAACCGTCTGCATAGGGAATGTCTTGTTCCGTACAGAGACCTTCAGTCTAGTGTCTCAGAGGAAAGAAACCAGAAAAGATTCACACTGAAGAAGCTGAAACCAGCGTTTAGACAGTTTTTATCCAATCAGTTACACAAACCATCTGACTGATGATCAGAATCATTGGAGGTTAATTTAATAGTTGATAACTAATTGATGAATCACTTATCATGCTGTCGTACTGTCTGTGGTGGTTTATTTGACTATCTTCACCTGCTGGAGAAACATTTTCTCAAAGCTCCGCCTGGTCTTCGTTCTTATCTTGTGTAACATTAACTTCAGTAATGAAAGAATTCAGCATATTTCTGACACGCTGAGAACTCAGAGCTCGTC